GAGTTTAACTGTGCCGAGACCATTCCTGTTAGTTCTCCCCCAATGTTGAATGAGGAATGAAATGACTATTTGAGAAGGACTGGACATTTAAAAAAATGATTGAAGCAAACATGGAGAGAGTTTGAAAAGAGAGGAAAAGTGGACTTTACATATTAGGTGACCTCTAAAACAAACTTCACTTACAATCTCTGCGTCTCCGTAGAAGGCAGAGAGGTCCAGAGGAGTCCGCCCGTTTTTGTCCGTGTGGTCGATGACCGCCCCTTTCTCCACCAAAAACTGCACTACGTTCTTATGTCCTTTTAAACATGCCCAGCTCAGGGGGGTCAGTCCCTCCTTGTCCATCGAAGTCAAAGATGCACCTTTGAAAAGAACAATGGTCATTAAACACTTCATATCAACACACTGATGAACACATCCAGCACTGACTGCTCTGCGGCGGGGGTGTTGTTGCAGCTCACCTTTAGAAAGCAGAAACTCTACGGTGCTCAGGTGACCCTCGCAGGCTGCCACCATGAGGAGGGTCCTGCCCTGCTTGTCGCTGATGTTAATATCAGCACCGTGCTCCAACAGCAGCTCTGCAATCTGGGAAACAGAGAGGAGCGGTCAGAGAACACACATTAATCACACCAAGGTGAACAGAGCTCACACTGAACTGCTCATTAAGCAGGGACCGGGGATTAGGGCTGAATGTACAACATGTATTTTGTATTGGTAGCTTCTATTGATATTTTTAAATGAAGCTTTTAATGTCTTTTCGCAAAAAAAAAAAACCTCAAACCTCAAACTAAATACTTAATTTGGAGTGAATCATTTGATTAAATAATGTAGTCCTTTTTAGCAAAACAACTTTCATCATTAAATATGACTCATCAGTGGGTGTCTGTGCAGCAAGTGGGAGAGTGCACCATTTTGACCAAAGAGATCATTTTGTATTTTAAAAAAGGGACACATTCCAACAAAAATGTTTTGAAGCATAAAAACATTTAAATCTCCAAAATGTATTTATTTATTTTTTACTTTTGTTTTGAACAAATTAAGTATTTTAGACTTTACAAAGCTCTGGGGTTATTGGAAACGTTGTGATCACACTACTTGTAAACAATCCATCAAAGATAACTAACCTCATCATGCAAAAAAAAAGCATTTGAATGTTGTCAACGTTACAACTTTAAACTTTTCGGTACAGCCCTACCATAGATAGCTCTAAGGGCAGGACATTAAAACTACTCACACACTGTTGCCCAACACAAGATTCAGAGGAAAGGTATGATTGTATATTGTGTGGTCGCCGTGGATACAGAGGGATGGGTTGTCCTGAACTAAACAGATGCTCAGCGTGTCTCACCTGCCAGTGTCCCTGTCTGACGGCGCAGAAAAGAGGAGACACCCCCCGCCGGTTGACCTGTTGCACCACCGCCCCCTGCTCCAACAGGAAGCCGGACACCTCCATCTTCCCCCGGCCTGCCGCTGCCGTCAGAGCTGAAGAAGAGAGGAAGAAATGTTAGGATTAATGTAGATACTTCCTTATCTAGATCTAAACAGAGGAACACATTAAGGTAAGGATAGAGCACAGTGGTAAGACAATAGTGGAAATCAAACCATCCCACTTAACAACAGGAAACTGTACAGAAGACAAGTGATAACATGTGCAGTAAACAGAGACTAATTCTGTTTATCAGCGGGTATTTAGAAACCCAAGTATGTGGAAAAGGAAAAGGCTTGGATAAAAATAGAGTTTGCAACCTCAGAATGCCTTCTATTCCTCAAAGACAAGCAGAGAAAAGCAGGCTTATGTTTGGTGCTAATTGAGTTTATAACAGACAATTATGTTATGCTTATTAAACTCATTAAATTCCAGCCTAAAGCTCCCCGGGCTTTCTACAGCGAGATGAGAATCCAGTCATTTAATGCATCAACAGACAAACATTAGACAGTCAAACAGTTCTGTTAAACACCCATTCTTCTTTATATTTTGTATCTGTTGCCTAATCCGATTAAGTGGAATTAACTGTGTATAATTCATTTATATGAAGAAGGAAATAGTATGTTGTGCTTGTGTTCTTGTCTGAAAACAAAGACAGATTCTTAAGATGTTCATTCAACAGCTGCTGCTGATGTATGACAGCAGATGGGCCGGTCTTAAATGAGCGGTGTTTGTCAAAACAGAGTGAGATCCAGCGTACGAACAGTCTCACATTCACCTCGGAGAGAGTTAAGGTGCCGTTGAGGTGCCGCTGAGTCTCCTTATCAGACTGACACCATCCATCTGGATGAACAGTCATCAGAGCCAAACTACCACGCCCTCCATCTGCTCAAAATATGAATATATCCTCACTCACAGCGCAGGGAGCAACTGGGAGCAGCTAAACTTATTTTGTTAGGGCTCCATGGAGCAGCATTAGCAACACCTCCCATGAAGTCGGATTACACTGAACAAACTCAACAGCTGTGCAGTTTGAGCATGTTTGAACGCGGCGCCTGTTTCTACGTAAGCAAGTGTATTCTTAAAAGCTCTTCTAGTTAAGTGCCATTCCCAGATTCTCACATGAAGTCAACATTATTTACGCGGATACCTTTCAGAGATGGAGAGCCCTTTTCTACCTTTGGTCATTTTTGCTGCTCTAATAGGATGAACTAAACCTTGCCTTTTTTTATCTAATTAAAAGTTGTTATTAGTTATTATTCGCAGCGTCTGATTTGCCTTCTCCTGTAGCCCACCTTTCAAGCTGATTTTACAGTAGTGTAGTGAATATACTTTTTACCAGAACTTTGGGATCTTTCTCTTGCTAATTATAAGGTTTATATATTTTTTAGCTTATGTTATAATAAAATAAACAGATAACTTAATTGAGTATAATTTTATAATGTGAATTTCAAAAGGTTCAATGGAATTTATTGAAGGCAGCACTAAGAAAACAAATGTAATTTTTTTTTAGTAAAATAGCATTTTCTTTGCCTTCACAGACACACAATATAAAAAATATATTTGTGTTGAGCACACAAGCAAACTTAGCCTTCACCTTTGTGAACAAATAGATAATTCACATTGAAAGAAAGGAATTAGTGAAAAGAAATGAACATGCGTATTAGGACTTCCTGTCATGAAGCACAAGCGTTTGAATGAAGAATCTTATTTACAGAACACAGATAAATAGTAAAGTGCAGGTTTCAAAGCAGGTATTTGTCACTGTATGCAAGAATAAAAAGCATCCTTCCTCTAGAGACCTGGGCAAAGCCATAAATAGCTGCTCAGGTTAGCTTATGCTGTGCTCTTATTATACAGGAGGAACACTTGAGAAGGAAATAACAGCAGAGCCTTTTACAGAACAATTAGTCACCTATATTTAAACCATTATTAAGAAAGGAGCTGTGGGCAGCCACTGGCTACTTCATTTGTCATAAGATGTCATTCATATATTGACTTTAACCTAATAACATTTAATCTGTACATACCAGAGGGTCAAAATAACAAAATGTATCATAAAATGACAGATGATTTACAAAGGATTACACTTCTGCAACACCGCTATTTGTCAGGCTTTGCCTCGAGCCAACCCGACTGCTGGGTGTTCACACAACGAACAGAAAGACTCTGTGCTGTTCAATTATCGTCCTTTGCATAATGTAGGAAGAGTTTTGCATCCTAAGAGAGGATTTTAAAAGATGGAGCTTCCACAGAAGTGCATTTCAGTTGGCCTATTTGCATAGATATGTATTATTCCATTGAATTGTAAATATGGAATGCATCCACACAGAGACAGGTTGCTATCAGAGTTGTTTCAGACACAGCAATAAATGACTTCCTTTTCATATGGATATTGCAGGAGGTTTTTTCTAGTTCCGGCATTGTTTCATCAGCGTGCCGTCTGTTACCAGATTGGAATATTTAATCTGCACGCTGAATCAAAGGGATTCCAGGTGAACAAGAGATTTCATATTTTAGTCGGAGCTAATTATTTCAGTTGTTGGCTTCTAACCATCATGAGCATTGTTACTGTCTGTGTTTAACTGTAAAACACCAGTGGATACACATTCTGCAGAAAAGCCGCTTTGCAATTGTGTTTACTAACATATTTCCCCTGAATGCAGATTCGTTTGGATCTTGTTTTAAATGAGTGTCTCTGCAAGGGTTTTGGAGTCACTTTGTTTCAGGACAGCACCTTTATATGGCTACATGTGACCTTATACTGAGACTGCCAAGGCACACCACTCTTTTCCGGCCTCCAGCTTTTCCTGCTGGAACCCGCCGCTTAAAGGTGGGGGTCCGCGGACCGGCCATAGAGCCCATAGAGTTAAAGGTGTTGGCCGTTAGCTGTAAAAATCCATAGATTAGCCGCACCGTTATATAAGCCGCAGCGTCGAAAAATAGGGGAAAAGGCGCGGCTTATAGTCCGAAAATTACGGTACATGTTTGAAACAACAAGAAGGCCGGTGTTTCTTTTGTCCTTGAACACAGATTCCAGTCATATCAGAGGAAACGGAGCAGCAGTTCCACAAAGGAATATTTCCAAGGGACGACTCTTTGTCCCAGGGCTGCAGTAAGGGCTGAAGTCCTGCAGTCATTTAGCCGCTCTGTGGACAGCCTCTCCACTAATAGGCTGACCTACATTCCTGTAGCATCACACGTTTAGCACTAAATCCTGCTGGCTAAGACTGACACAGAGAGACTATTAATTTAAATCTGTTTTTTATATATTGTAGTATGATTGTTCACAAAAACCATCAAATATCATCCTCAAAACAAAAAGGGTTTGATTTGAACATTTAAAGCTTTACAGTCGATCACTTCAATCTCACAACAAAAGCTACAATTGAAGATCAGAGCAAACCTTTCAAAAGGGTCCAACATTTCAAAACATTTACAAGAAATACAGCAGCTCAGAAACGCGTGTCTGACGCTCGCACAATATAAATAAGAATGCCTTTTCCAACTATTTTTAGTGCTTTATATCTTGATAATTACTATATTTTACAACTACAAACAGTACATTTATCATCTCTGCAAAAAGGATGTTGCCTGGAGTGTTTTCCTGACAGCAATTTCCTGCTTTTAACAGTGTATTTTTCTCTGTCTTTTGCACCATTTCTTCAATCTCAAATGGCTTTGAGCAGACCATCAACAACACTCACCGTCTACAACAACGACTCCTGATTGGCCAACTCTGTCTCTCTCTTCTATCATCATAAAGACTGAACTACAAACGTACCAATACTTCTCCTAAGAAACATGGTCATCTTATGTCTACAGCTACATGTAGCCATCAACATGTAAGTGGATTATATGTAATTCTACACAACATTCCTTGTAAACCTACATGTGGCTGTCAATATATACAACAGATGGTGGAGTGACTTCAAAATGTCCAGTATCCTGTCTAAACATAGAGCACAGAGGGGATACTGCGGCATATTGGAAAATCATTGTTCAGAGGAAATGCTGTGTTGACTAAAGTAAGTAAAAACCCACATGAGCCACAATAAGTGATGCTTTTACCAGAATGTACAGCGCAGGAGACCAGCCGTACAAATGCACACACACATTTGGGATGACCGGCCTTACATCAAACAGAGAGCATTACCGCGCACAAGAGAGACACGAGAGCTTCCGCTGCAGCATGCAGAGGATTCCAGGGAGCCAAGTAATGCAAAAAGATGGATGGAAACATACCTGTCTCTCCCCACAGAGTGTCGTGGCTATCAATTTGCACAGCATGCTCATTATTCAACGCCAGCAAGCCTCTCACAACCTGCCAACAAAAAGAAACTTAGATTAATGGCATACTGTGTCAGCATAAGATATTAAATAAACCTTCACATTTCAGAGTAACAACACATTGCTGGCGGAGAAAATTCTTATAATTTAATTACAGCAGACTTCAAGAACACTTTCTCCCTGAACTACTGCGTGAGGTCATGTGAGGTGAGTCCAATCTGATTAATACTTTGACTTTAACAATGTCTCCTTCCTCATTTGGGTTGACAGCTTAGCTTGAGCCGGGCTTCAGGTTCCCATTAATGAGGAAGACAGAATAAACCTTGAGCCTGAATCGCACCTGGGCGTTCCAAAGGCACTGCGCTGAGATCCATCCCTGAATTCTGCAGACATACAAGGCTGAAGAACACTTCAAACCTTTAGCCTTCATCACTGAGAACAACATGTGCTCAGTTTAAAGCTCCCTCTGCTATCTGGAATATTTTGAGGAAGAATGTTGTAAAAAAAAAAACACAGGCAAGAATGGTTGTTGTGCTGCGATAAAGTAAGTAAAAACCTGAACTGTACTTTTTGAAAATGTGCAATGTATTTTGAGTGTCAATGAGTCGTTTTTATTTCAAATACATCACTTTCTGTAGTGAGTGGGAATGTATCGATACTTTGCGACATAGTTCACTTGCAAAAACTCTCTCTCCAAACAAACGAACGCTGTGATTAGAACCCAGTTTGAAAGTGATTAAAGCCGTTTCTGGTTAATAATTGAACTGTGAACCTTGAATACTAAATTGTATCAAACTGACTTTGGTGTGTTTTCCATTACAAGTTGAGAGTACTTTTTTATTATTGTACTCCCAGGTTTGGTGAGCTGTTGAGGATTAATTGTGTGTAAAGTAAAACATGTGCATGTGTGAGTCGAACCTGTGTGTGCCCCATGCTGGACGCTGCTATCAAAGCCTGCTGCAGAGCTTTGTTCTTCAGAGCGCAGTCCTCCTGCGGCCCCTCCTCGCTCCAGTCCAGCTCCAGCAGGTACTGGATGATCTCTGGGTGGCCCCGCAGAGCCGCGTGCACCAGGGCACACTGCCCGCTCTTATCTACATGGTCAACCTGGAGGGAAGACAACGTGGTTAGTTTTATTGCACCGAAGCACAGTGCAGCAAGTCTGCGCCGAAAGACAGTTTTAAGGACCACAAGTTTGATAATACCAACTCCTTTATTTTGAAAGGTCCCCTATTATACAGTTTTTCATTGATATATTATAGGTCTCAGATATATACAAACATGTCTCTGAAGTGTTTGGCTCCAAATACCAAACAGATCATTGTAGCATCCCATAATCCCCTCTGTTTCAGCCCTGTTTCAAAAGTGCTGATTCTCTGTCTGTTAGTTTAGATGAAAATAAGGAGCCACTCCCCACGCCCCTCTGAGAGAGATTTGGTAAAAAAAGAACTCAAGGTGCTCTAGGAGGAGATTCAGGTGATCAGGTGGTGGGGTTTGGTGATTGGCTAATGGTTACACAACCCAAAAAATCGTTATGACATCATAACAGATGGCAGATAGCAGATAGAAATGAGCTATTAGCTATAATCTGGCATAATTAATATCTTCTCTTTTCTGAAATGAATGTATTTGTATGCATGGAAATAAATAAATACATAATAATAATAAAGTGGCCAACCTCTTACCAGTTCATTTTCAGACAGGTTTTTATATAAATGGCTCAGGACAAAAAGTGAGCGAATCTTTTTTCCGGAAACTTTCAGAATCTCTTTACACAGAGGGGACCACATGTTTATGTATAAAAGACATTAAAAAGTGCATTTTGTATGATAGGTCCCCTTTAAACTAGGGACTCCTCACCTTGCCCCCCCTCTTGCAGAGCAGCATGACTATTCCCAGGTGTCCTGCGGCGGCTGAGAAGCTGAGTGGGTTCATGCCGTTCTCAGACACCACGTCCACGCTGGCCCCAAACTCCAGCAGCAGGGAGGCGATCTCCTGGTGCCCGAGGTGGCACTGCACGCAGAGAACTGGAGCATTGTTCAACACTTCTGTACGGTAGTTCACGTTAGCCCCACCTAGCATCAGCAGACGGCTCACCTGATTGAACAAATGAAATGCAAACACAGACAGCTGGTGGTCAAAGAGTTACCGTCCCTGCAAACAATTTCATTTGATTGCATTTATAAACCCTCTTATGTAAGGGACAATAAAATATGTATTCTATTGTTCCCTTTCAACTGAATTACAGAGCAGTGTAATTGCCATAGTGTGGAAACAAAAGACAAACATCAAAATGCTGTCATGCTGAGATTTCAATGAAAAAATCTGGTTGTATTTATACAAGTCAAGTCAATTTTACAGTATTTACATGTGTACTGCCCATTAACAGAAATGTGCCTCACAGGGCTTAACAATCCGGAGAGCTCACGACACGCTCTGTCTTTAGGGTTAGGGTTGAAGGGACCCTCACTAGTCCTTTACAGTAAAGAGGAACAAATGGAAGACACCTCAGAAAGAGAAAGAGGAGGGAGAGACATGCAACATATAGTGTTTGTACAGAATAGACCAAAATAGACACAAATTTGCCAAATGGAAAAACAGAATGACAAAGATTATGAATAAATTGTAAAGTTATATGAAGAATATTATCTTAGAGGAGGATTTGATTCCTTATGCACTCATTATTCTTTATCAAACTTCCCTGGAAGGTAGATAAAACAATAATTCTGCACTATTTCACAATGTTTAGAACTAATTAGATGGTAGTTTGTACTTATTACTAAAGTGCAACAAGATGAACAATGTTCCATGCCCATACAGTTATTCCAATGTAATACTTTCAAGGATTTGTGACCACATGGTCAATGACTAACTAAACAGCAGCAGAATCTATAACTCCGACTGAAACAAGATACTTTAGATTTCCTCCTTGAGGCTCATTCCAGTGAAAAAGCTCTCGTGCTTCAGAGATTCTTCTTTAAGCAAAGGTCAGACTCCAAGTGAGTGTTCACATTCAACTGGATGCAATTATTTAGTGTGTCACTCTCTGCCATGATGAGGAAATCAATAATAAATGCTTTGTAAAACAGAATGAGTAACAGGCAACAGGAAATTAAATTGGATGTGTTTTGTTGGACACAATGGGGACTGAATGAACAGTTTTTCCCAGAGGACAGAACAAGGTCATTCTACAAATGTCTCTAAGTGATGTTGCTCTTACACATAATAACTTGCACATATAGAATGAGGATGACAACAAGAGATGGAATACCACTGCAGTGCTAAGAACATATGAGGTATAATGCAGCCTCAAACCAGAATACATCATTGTGACATAATCTGAAAAGAAAAATGTCTTCCCCGAAAAACCAAAAGGGCTCCAGAAGCAACAAATCATTAACAGACTATCTTAGAAGTTTGAAGAACATGAATATGAACAAATATTTGAAATAAGACTATCCCTAAATGACTTCCTGTCTCACATATATCTTGTGCCGTCATGATTTCATCCGCTACTTTCCAAATTGCCTAAAAACATTTTTCATTTCCTGGGTTGTCTATATGAGGATCAAAATGCCTCGGACATATGTGAATCATAAACGGCTGACTATTTAAGTATTGAAGTATTATTTACTTTCTTCTTGTATTCAACCATTGTTACCATTTATCACCGACACACTTTAAATGTTTTCTCTGTGTTCATTGCTAACATGAGATACGAACACCTCACGTCTTGTCCTGAATTTAATGAGTCACGCTCTTATCACTATCATTTCATGCTGAAAATATAACATATTGTAAGAAAGGGTAAGTTATGGTTATAAATTATGCCCAAAACAGAGGAATATGAGTTTGTGTGATGTTGAGAGAATGGGACGTGAGAAAAAAAGCTAATGCTTTGTGGGCCAAATGAATAATAGATGTGAACACTAGGACTAAAACAAATGATGAGAGTGTAGTGGTTAAGGGGCGAGCTTTATTGTTTTTACATCAATTAAAATGATGTGACTTTATTGGACTATTACTGTTTGCATATTATTTGTACTTTTGCCTGCCTGTTAATAGTATTTGCTTTTGTTCTGCAGAAAAGAGACAGCCATGGATCAAGCTAATGGAAAGATGAATCAGGTCCTTCCTGCTGCTTTTTAAAGTGGCTTCAAAGTTAATCTGCTCTGAGCTCACACTCATCCTCATAAGTATGTTTAAGGACAGAGCGTAACATTTATCACAATTCACAACTTACTGGTAAGTGCCATTAGGGGAGGACATTTGAGGGTGCCACTAACAATGCAATGCATATTAATCATCAGTGGGCGTTTGATTTGAGAGTTGTAGAGAAAGACTTTTTGATTTAACAACTACTACTACTACTACTGTGTGAGACTAACTAATAGAAATCAAAGTCTTAAATAACATAATAAATGCCAGATTCAAGGGGATGTCTTCGAAATGATTATTTTGTCTGACCATACATGAAAAACCCCAAATTATATTACAGAATGTTTTACTTGTTGCTGAAGGTCATTCCTCTATTGTCTTTCCCCACTTAACCTCTCTTTCTCTACTATTTCTCAAATAAAGGCACAACAATAACTGAGAGGCAGGAAAACAGCAAATGTTTGATATCTCAAAATCACTGAGACTGCCAAGGCACACNATATTACAGAATGTTTTACTTGTTGCTGAAGGTCATTCCTCTATTGTCTTTCCCCACTTAACCTCTCTTTCTCTACTATTTCTCAAATAAAGGCACAACAATAACTGAGAGGCAGGAAAACAGCAAATGTTTGATATCTCAAAATCACGATTATCTCTCAATACATTTGAAATAATCATCTATAAGTCGGCTAATTAGCTGATTGTTTAAGGACTAACTGACGTGCAAGAGTTGGACAACATGTTACCTTGACGTTGGGTGTGTAGAGATTCCTCAGTGAAGCCAGGGCTGCAGAGAGGCCATCTGCACTGCAGCTGATCCACAGAGCCTGCAGCACGCTGGAGGACACACCTGTTCTCTTACTGAGGCCCTACACACACACACACACACACACACACACACACACACACACACACACACACACACACACACACACACACACACACACACACACACACACACACACACACACACACACACACCATAAAAGTCAATGAACAGGCAGCCAGTGTTTCTCTTCACATCCCAAGGCTTATCCTCTGTTGAACTATACTCTCAAGATACATGCATCGATAAACAGAGCCATGAAACAACAACTTGGAATTCTTAGAAAGGATGGGTTTCAATCAAACATGAATGTAGAGAGTATGAATAACTTCTGTACCTTGAAGATGTGTGCTTTGAGGATGTGGTGTCCCAGCTCCATTGTCTGCTGTCGATTCAGCTTCCCCTCCTGGCGCGAGAGCATGAAAGCCATGAGAGCATGGCCAGTCCTGGGGAGGAAACAACAGAGAGGATACACAGCTGTGAAGAGAATAGGGAACAGAAAAACAAAGTAATATACGATTTACGCTACTCTTGCGAAACTTTTCCCCTGATATATTCTCATTCGATCATCACCTTAAGGACTCTCTGAATTATACTTCATATAAGAGCACCTTGGCTTTGTCATGGAGATCTTCTTTGTTGTATACATGTGTGAGTAAGGTGCACAATGCCCCACTGAAGGCTAGGGAAGAGTGTTAAACCCCTGGGCTCTCCTTTCCTTCTTCACTCGGGCACTCGCGCCGTTAATGGATGCAGAGCTTCATTAAAAGGACATGCATGATTGCGGATCACTTTGATCTAGTTTCAATTATCTCCATTCGTGCCCTGGCAAAAACCAAGAGGCAGCGCAGAAAGCTTTTGTCCACATGCGCATTCCCTCTGCCAGACTCGGAGCCTTTTGTTTTTTTAATGACGGAGTTGGAAGGCTGCGAATGACCAGAATATAAAGAGTCGGCTCTGGTGCATTTAGAGACACATAGTGTGAGCAGAGGTGATACTGACAAGCGACAGGGAGGCAAAGAAGCTCGCCAGAGTGACATCGTCCGATATATTTAGTGTGAATGACTGAAGTCTCTGATGGGGGGGGAAGGGGCTCTAGAATTACAATAAGGTAGCACTTTCAAAGCAGATTGAAAGCTCAACTGGAAATGTATTCTACACCCCTTATCATTTCAAATGTATTTATAGTTTTTCATGGCACTTAACTGTCAAAATGTAGGTCTATTTTCTCAGCAATCATCAACAACTAATATTATCCATTGCTTTTAGCTGATCATTTGAACTATTGAATAACTTTACGTTATTTATATCTATAGCGGGTTGTTATTGTTGTTAAAATAAATGCCTGGCATATCTTGAACTTTCCTCCTTGCAATGCAAGTCATGCTGCGCTTATTGATCAGAATGTTCTATTTTCTCTCCAGTCGGTCCATTTTTCGTATGCAAAGTGGTGGCCAAACAGTAAATCACATACTTCTAGCAATTCATGGAAAAACACTATGATTATTTCCGAAACAGGAGGGCTGCTGTGAATATGATTTGTACTCATGCTCTGAATATCAAGCTGTGCTACAAAATAACCACGAGGATATGTTAATATATATCCCCTTAAATGTAACCATATATGTGGTTTCCTTAAGATTGTTCAGAATCGGAATCAGAATCAAGTTCATTGCCAGGTACGTTTACACAAACAAGCCATTTGCTTTGGTATCTGGTGGTTTGGGGTCTAATTGTAATGTGTTTCGAGAATATCATAGATGCACAACAGACTTAACATGACTGATATTTAAAGTGTTGTGTAACAGTAACCCACATTCCTAAAGGAGCTGCGGAGTTGCTGCATTTGCTTAAAAGCGCTGAGGACTGACCTGGGGTCACAGAGGAAGTCCGTACTCTCTCCATCGGCTCTCCACACCAGCCACTCTCTGAACGAGGGGTGGCAGAACATGCGCGTCTTGTCCCGCCGTTTGATGAGGAAGCTCGAGAGCAGCTCCATGCGTTGTTGGAAGTCCTCCCATGGCAGCTCCCCTTGGACGAAGCCGGCGTTGATGGCCTGGAACAGCTGCTCGTCGGTCATGGGGTGCAGCGAGGCAAGCGCCACGTTGAGGATGGGCAGCGAGCGCTCGAAGGCCGAATTGGTCATGAACTTCATGTTGCACTGTAACTGGTAGAGCTCCGCGAGCGAGACGGGCACCACTTTGTAGCTGGAGCTCTTGATCACCAGGTGGCCTCTCTCGAACAGATCCAGGGTCAGTTTGAGATACAGGTAGGAGCCCTGGCTGCGGGAGATCAGGTGGCTGCTGAGCTTGCCCACTGTGATAGGGTCTGCCTTGCCATTCAGGCTAATATTGTTCATGATATCCTTGCTGCCGTTGATACGGTACTGGATATACGCGTTGAGGTCGTTGCTTATCTCTGCGTTGTCGGTAAAGTCATCCAGGCAGATCTTGGAGAAAGGGAGAAGGCTTGTGATCTCCTGTGGAAAGAATTAATAAAAACAAAGCACTTGTTGAGTTAATTTAGGCGTTGTAACTGATTCACCAGCACATACTATGGTATGATCTAGCTTGAAGTGAATATGTCTGCACTTTCCTTGTTGTTTGGAGTTTTTCTTTATGGTTTTTGCACTAATTGTAAGTCACTGTGGATAAAAGAGTCAGCTAAATTATATGTAATGTAATGTATTGGTATTTGTCAAGGCTCAATGCAAAATAAGCCTGTATTGTTGAGTACATATACAGATTCAATCTCAATACCTGAACAATAAAAGTTCGTTTTCTAGTTCGCCCTGCAATATAAATTGTATTCCTTCTTCTAAATAGTGTGTGTGTGTGTGTGTGTGTGTGTGTGTGTGTGTGTGTGTGTGTGTGTGTGTGTGTGTGTGTGTGTGTGTGTGTGTGTGTGTTTACTATCAGGAGACTTCTTTGAGCAGTAGGGAGCAAACACTGAGAAAAACAAGACTAGGAAAGTAAGTATTAGGAGGCAAGGGATGGTGATGGGGGGGCAACAGGAACACTTTTAACAGAGGTCAGAGCCGGGGCTCACATTTCAATCTATGTCCTGGGGGTTGGAGAAATCAATGCACCTTAATCCTCTGCCTGTCTGAGGCTAAAGAAACATTTCCACAGCGTGATAACACTTCTCTGTACCTCATCATGACAAGGTACAGAAAACACACGTACAAACACATGGATCCTCACATGCACAGAGGCACTGACACGCACTGATTATAATCCAGGAGGTGAGAGAAGTGCTAGCAACACATCACAGATAAGCCAGATATTAGTCTAGCAAGCAAAGGCCAATATCCTGAGCCCTTTCTCCTTGGTGAAATCCTATTTGTTTGCTCAAAGTGCAAAACAAAACTGTGACACCTTCGTCACACCTCTATGCACAAATAGAATGCTGTGGTAGCAAACCAAATAGTAGTTATGCATTGATTTCAATTCAACATATGATTTGGTGGCATTTCCCCATGTTCTATGTGTCCTTTTGTATCTCCTACTTACTTGGACATCAAACTGGAGTTAAGAGGCTATGACACAAATTCCCTCCAATTTAAAAACTGCCTCACTGTGTCAATTCACTTTCACAGAAATGTTTTAAGCAAATGCTCTGGTGCAGTCAACTGGGACATCCGGAAAAATCTTTCCACACCATAAACGAATGCTGACGGATTCATAGAGGTGAATACAAGATGTCAGTTGCAGAATAGATTGATTCAGCACATCCAGAGAGCCTCGACATAAACGGAATATTAATCCTGACTCACAGGATAAAAACAAATGGGCTGAACTTGGTTTGCAGAGCATTGCATACTGATGGACACCACCTCGGCCGGGCTTTCTGCCTGAGCAGTAATAACTAGAGCTCTGGATGTCAGCTATCACATTATTATCCCGAGCTCAGCGCTTCGTCCCAGCCGTGGTGAGTCTCATCGGGCATGCCGAAGCTTCAGCTATCACCAGTTCAACACTGGACCCGGCAAATCTGTGGAACTGTTCGACCTAGTGTCACTTTCCCTTCAAGCTCGTAGTGACTGACTGCTCCTTCCCTGTCATGCGGCGTTGAATCCCCCGGTCACTGATGCTTCAGTTCCAGCTTGAATGTTACTGGATACGCTTGACAAAAAATGACTCTGTAGAGAGCAGAGTATGACAAGGACGAACAGCTCGGATAAACCTTTCAACTTTCACACATGTCAAAATCTGCAGTCACTGACAGTAGCAAGAGGTGGCGGGAAGATCGGACTATTTTAAAATCGTTTTGAGGAAATGTATAAATAAGCTAGCCTTCTGTAATAAGCTGATTGAAGAAGCTCCTTGGCACAAGCAGGTTTTATTATTCTGAATACGGACAATATATTCTCTGATATTGTGAAGAATATATATTTTGCATTAGACAAGCACAACACAATGTTATTTTTATTAACAAGCTCTTCCTCACCAGTAAATTGACCCGGACAGTGACGACCAGTTTGAGCCACGAGGGGAACTTGGTGATGATCTTCGAGATGAAGGAGGAAATGGTGTCTCCGTAGTCAGGCTTATGGAACTCGGCTTCGTTCAGCCCGTCCACCAAGATGATGTTGTCCTCCTCGGGAATCCTCCGCTCTGGAAACACAATTACCGACAAAGGTAAGACGATGTGCAGCGAGGTATATGAGTGTTAGCTTTTGCACCGTGGCGAGCGTACAGAGCGGTGCCTTGTTTCAGTGCAATAACCACACCCTTTCTCTCAGAGGGGCAGTGAGGGGTAAGGGTCTTTACTTTGATTCATCAACTACACATCCACTGCTCCCACTTCACTCCCCACTTAAATGTCAAGTTACATTCACGCTGTTAGCACAAAAGTGAATACTGTCAGTGGAAGCTGTATGAGTTACTCTTTGAAATCAGGGATAAAATGTAATAGTTTTCCTTTGTATGAGTTTAATGTTTGCAAGATGAAGAGTCTCTTCATGAGAAAGCAAATTAAATCAACAAATCAGTTGCATAGCAGCTATTTGGCAGATGCTTTCATGCAGAGCAACTTGCATTTTGTCAAATACACAAACATTTGGAACAATTTTGGGTGAAGTGCTTAAGGAAATAAGTAAACATTTATCAAAACTATAAACTAAGCAAGTGCTTTATCAGATCTCATGAGCTGGGGCATAGTTATGTTTTAACACTTCTCGTGCTTCTGTAAATATCAAGTAAACAACAAAGAATTTGAACAATATATTTCCTCGAGGCATTCCTGAGATATCACATTCACAGAGACAGATGGATAAACAGGTCATCCGCAAAATATCCCAACGCTGGTGCATAGAAGGCATAGAAACTATTTGAATGTCTGTCAGCCCTTCTTTCCAGGTAATTAGTGTGCCATCGGAAGAATGTCAATATACTATAATATATATTTCCTGGAGTGCTATGCTTTGCCGCAGTGAATTATTCAATCGTGTCACAGAAGAAGACCATGTAATTGACATATTGAAATATGACACAATGGTGTTTTACCTTTACGGAGGTTGGCTAGTGGCTCGAGGACCCCCCTCCGGAAAGCGGCCATGGGGTCCTGGACACAGGAGCGCAGGCTGAGCATGCTCTGGAGGTTGGGCTCTTTCAGCAGCAGCTCCCGGTACGCACTGAGCTGGTGAGCTCTGCACAGCAGGGCAGCGATACTGTGTACAAACTCCGGAACCAGGCAAGTGTACGTGTTATCCGCCTGGCAGTAGTGATATGCAACCACCTGGAACACAAAGAAAAGAGAGACAACAGATGGGATTACTTCAGAGTTAAGAAGAATTAAAAACATGTCACAGTAATTAATCAAGACTTGAATTAGTTTTGGCTTTAGTAAAAGAAAATATAAAAAGCTGGAAACATTTCATAACATCAAAAAGCCATCTGCCTTGTTGGCTCAACAACTATTTCTGTTCATACAGTGTGGGGTCTGAGGCCCTTTTATATGTAACAATTCTATAAAGCACCGTTACAGAAATCGGGCAGAAGGTGATAACCTCAGATAAACTCTACTATGAAAAAAAACACTGAATCCCAGTTGTAGCCACAGGAAAAGATCTTCACTGCATGTTCAGGTTGGTGCAGTGCTCAAAGGAAGTCCGCTTGAGAAAAAGAGGGACAGGGTTGGGGAAGAAAAAAGGAGAGATGGTGTTGGGATGTTTGCCTCTGTTCTCATTACAGGAGCTGACACACTTCCAAGATCAGCAGGGGGAGGAGCAGGGGACCTCTTCTTCTGCTGATGCTGCCTATTGCTCCATCAACAATGAGGACTGGACAAATCTGACTATTTCAAAGCTATAGCTCATCCAACATCTGCACGTGTATTTATATTTCCATCTCTTGTAATGAAGGAAATATTGACCACATGAACGAATACATCCACTCTGGCTTCAAGATCTCAACAGTGATTTAAAGGTCTGATACAAGACTAGGTAGGAACAACAATACTGTTAACTTTCTACACCAATCTGGAGCCTCGTGATGGCAGTGCTCTAAGAAGGGACTGTGAAACAATCAAAAATGTAAGTGGAACAAAACCTTGGGGTCGGGGCTTTGTCTATTTCACCCTTATTTCTCAGTACCATAACTACTAATCGTCTCCATTTAAGTGCTCTATACAAAAGTGGCTCTACAAAGTTAGTGTCAGAAATGTAGGTATCTAACTGAGCATTTAGCAGAAATGTAATAAAGTGATGAATAGTTTCCAGAAGTAATTAATACATCATTCTAGGACTGCCATTCAATTTCTTGAATTTCAATTTGTATTCATCATACTTTTATAAAAGTAGTCATAAAAGGGAGAGAAGAAGAAACACAAATGTGAAGAACACAGCAACGGAGTCACTTTAAAAAGTATTATTCTAAAGAACACACTTCACTGGGCTCAGCACTCACCTCAACCATTGGGCTACACAAAACAAATGGGGCAGCGATGTGGTTGTTAAGCTTGAAATAACACAATATTCCAGTGAAAACAGAGACTGTGGAACACCTTTCTCTTGGGGCATACAGTCAATTATTTATACAGCACATAGAATGGATGTGGATAGGTGCCTGACTGCAGTGATGGTTAGTGCACAAGTCATGTAGACTCCTGCCTCATCAATGAGCAATAAGAAGCTCAACACATGATGATGCAACATGCTGCAGTGCACCTGCAGGTCTTCATGTGCTGGCACAACAATGAACTCACTGTTTAGAAACATTCCCTAAAAACGTGCCCCTGTCATTGACTTGCGATAAACCATAAAATGTAATGGCCTCGGTGCCCCTGTTATGAGACCACTTTCAAATGAATGATTAAAAAGAACTGGCAGAATTTGACAGGATCTGCTCGGTGTTGCATCAGTATTCAGAAATCACAGGAACAGAGCCCCTGGGGGAAACACTGCACAATAATTGGCTTGAGGGATATTGCTTGGGTTTCATAGACATTTAGATGAGCCTCAGTGGCATAACGTCAGCTGTCTGGTGCATGAACTTCCCAGTGGTAGAGGCTAAATGTGTTGTTATCGCATGCCCCATTTCACTACTAAAGAGCCATTTATGATGAGGCAAGAGCGCGAAACCCCGAAGGCTTTATAGAGATACCTGGATGTAATCGGTAACTTTAAAATAAAGCTTTGTCACCCATTTAAAGAGCTAACAGTTCACCATCACAAAAGTGTTAAATTCATTGAATGTCGTAATGAATCAAAAATATTCTCTGAAACACCGTAATCCCTTTATAAGTAATCTTCTTTATTATAACTCCACAGATAAAACAATGCAACATGTATATACTTCCTCTGAGAGTTTCAGTCAACAATAAGTGTTTACAAATCAACTGACAGTTCAGGTATTGCATGGCAAGCAGCAGTGGTGCTGTTTCACAAAGCCTGCATGTGGATATGTTCTAAAGGTACATTAGTGAAGACCAGAGGTGAAGCTTTTGCTATTGAAATTATTTCGGGATGCTGAATTTTGATGACAATTTAGATTTTTAAGATGAAAAACTGATACAAAAGCACCATGACCATTTTAAAAGCATCATGCCAAGATGAGGACGAGGATTGGGCTACAGAGGTCAGGTAAACTCTCTTCTTTCTATCTCCACATCCCCAGACTTTTTGGAGTCACAAAAGCTCCCCCTTACAGGCTCCCAAGGTCACTGTCATTCATCTCTCTCATGTTGACTGTCCAATTGAGGCAAAAAAATCCCACAAAAAGAAAATCAAGAAATGTATTTTTGTCCACAGAACGAAATAAGAGGCTATAGACCTAATGCACTGCTCTGTTTGACTACCTAAATGAAAGGTGTTGAAAGCTGCAGCACCTATTATGTAACCTCTAAAGGATGTAGAGAAAAGGCTTTACGTAAGACAGATGATCTGAAGCAAATGTCAGACTGCACTGTAAGAACAGTTTGGTATTTAGAACAAACCCTCTGACTATACTGTAAAATGTGTTCCCATGGCAGCCGCTGTGGTACTCCTCCCCCCACTCAATGCAAATGCCTTGCACCTGTGAGCGTAAAGGGCACACTAAAGACCTGAGCTGAAGTCTTCTGTGTTCCCACTTCAGTTCACACACAGTCATACTGCAGCAGTGAGATGCTGCAGACATCATTATTGAACATGCTTTTCATGGCCAAGTCTTTAACTAAGCTCACTGCTTCTCACATCAAACAAGTGATATTAAAGGTCTCTGAGACACCCATGAGAGAATCGCCGTCTTTCATAATCTGAGCAGAGTGTGGCTAGGCTGAAAATCAAACCGAAGAACATAAACAATCATAAATCATAAACAAACACATATTTTCTGCAGTGGATCTCATACATACTGAAAACAACTAGGCACACCATGTACCTTGTAAAAAAGTGATAGTTTCACACTGTGATTTCTCCTGAACCCTGAGCTACAGTAATGACTGAAGGTGTACCTTAGCAGCCAGCCGTTTGACAGCCTCCTCCCTGCGCCTCTGCATCTCGGGGGTCCCGGGGCAGCTGCTGGTCCTCAGTGTGTTGGTGGCACTGGACGGGGGGGTGGGCTGTGGAGGCTGGCTGAGAGCAAGTTCAGCGTTTGGTCCCCCACCACCTGGAGCACAAAGAGACACACTTGATCATATACAAATGTGGACAAAAACAAATGTGAATTAAATATTTATGAATGTAACAAGTTTTATTTGTAATTTATTGCAATAGTGAAATTGGTTTTATGTAATCAAGGCGTACTGTGTGAAATCCATTTTACATTAGTGGTGGAGGTTTAAGTCAATGTTTACGCTAGATACATCTATTTTCACTTCCTCTCAAGCTATTAATAAAATGCAAATTCAATAACTTAATTTTAAAAAATGCAGCTGATGTAATGCTCTTTCCAGAGGCAAACACTTAAATTGCTTACTTTTTGGGGAGGCACTAGGACTGTTAGAGGCAATCTGACGCATTCGACCTCCGTGGCAGCTGAGTGCTACGAGCCGGGAGATAATGGCCGTTTTTCCATAACCCACGCTGCCCACCACCACAGCGCCGTGGTTCTCTGCGGACTCGCTGGCCTTCAGGACATCTTCCAGCTGCTGGAACAGCCAATCCCGGCCCACAAACACAGAGTCTGTGGTGATGCTGGGCACCTCGAACAGCAAGGGCTTGAGCATGATGTCAACGGGTTTGTAGGGAGCAAATCGAGCTGAGGACAAGTGAGGGCAAAGAAACACATTAGAATTACATTTGTTTCAATGTTGTTTTTTTACAAATGAAACAACAAGAGTGTAAGGGACTCACATGACTTCAGTATGCTTTTTGTAATTAATGCTACTTTCTGTCAGTGCAGACTTTCAATCCAATAACTGCAATGTTGAATCATCAACCATTTAACTGTAAGCTCTTCTGTAGCCTCAGAATGATGTGCCAATAACACAATCATGCAAGGACAGCAATGGCTTTTTTCCAGGTAAAATCTGATTTTTGAAAACTGGCAACTTGCAAACTCATTCTGGGTTCTGGTTTGGCCTTTATTTCCCCCCCAAAAAAATATCCCCCATCCTTTACAGACAACATAAGTACATTGCCATATATGTTTGTCTTTTACTGAAAACAAAAGTTTCTTGACATTTTTATACTTAAAAAATTATTACAATACAAGGAAAAGGATGAAAACATCTTAATATATTTACTTTGGAGAGATGTGTGAGGACTCCTAAGTGCACCATTTAAATAATGTGACAAAGAAAGCATGCCGCCACGATGCTATTTAATAAAAAGATGATTGCATGTTGTTACATTTAATGATTACTAGCACATTTGACAGATATTACAAACTTTCATTTTTTGGGCCATTATGGTGTCTCTTGGCAACACTAACATTATCTCATTACTTCATCCACTTTCAACATGACATGAAGTGGTATACCACTGTCTGCAGTTCCTGCCATTAATGGAAAAACTAAACATATGCACACACATATAACAGACATGGACTGTTCCTATGTAATGGTGTTTCTTCGACAGGGATATAGAAATGATCACCTGACATGATGCTGCTGTATCAACGTCATGTTTAAGCAAGTGTGGAAAAGGAAGAGGACGCTTTTTCGGTTAAACAGTTTGACTATCTAATGATGTTGTTCTAAATTATTCATGTTCTCATCAAATATTCACTCTGTGGGATTTCTCAAGGCTGGTGAACGACAGCAATGATTTTATCTAAAGAGCTAAGTGTGTGCAGGAAATGTGGATATTGATAAAAACGACATCAACATACATTAGTGCAGTACTGTTAATATCCATACTCAGAATTTGAATTGTTTGAAATGAAAAAATTACTAAAATGTTGACCTTAAAGGTGGGGTAGGTAATTCCCTTCAGAAACACTTTTTGTTATATTCGATGGAATGCTCTTAACATCCCGATAGCAATGAATATATTAAATGCTTTGACAATAAATACATACAAACATTTCATCTGTGGAAGCCGTGGCACTGTAAAAAGCACGACCAATCATTTTAGACGGCTAAAATAACTGGATGGCCTACCTGCCTGTCAGCCTTCCATCTCGTGCAAAAACTTATCTTGTGCCCTCATTGATCATGTGCGCGTTCGTGTGTATTGGAGGAGGGGTACTTTCAAATTCTATCGCACTCAAGCTGGTTTCTCCATTCTTACCTAGCCTACCTTTAACCTTCAAATAAAGGTGTTAGAATCCACCTAAGTGTTAAAAACCTACAACTCCTTCACTCTTTCAAACACTACCTTATATGGACATGGACGCACCAAATACCATTAGAGCTGAAACAGCACTTTATCCTCTGTCCTGTCCTGATACGATAACATCATAATGCTGAGTGCAGTCACCTTTAGAGTCCTGAGGGGGCCTTCCTCCTGTATTATGCCATGGTAGGCGGATGGATGTCCGCAGGGGTGTGTTGCGCTGTTCATCAAGAAAGCTCAGGTCTTCCAGCTTTGTGGAACTGGTCGCTGTAGACAGAGATATAAATGAAATTAGTGAAGCAGAACACTTGACGCATCTCGAGTGCATTTCTCACATCGACTATAGAGGGTAAATCAGAAACACACACAGGAGAAAAGATGACTGAAGAAGACGCCAGAAAGTGTGCTCTGAAATTTGCTGTTTCCTTGAGGCTGTGTGTGAAGGTACTAGTATACTTAAACAGATAGATAAAAGTGTCCCTAGAAACATTATGCTCCTTTTTCCTTTGATTTGAACAGTAGATTACCTTTATGTTTCTTTAAAACAGAGAAGAAATAACCCGTTCAGAAAAGCTATTAAAACGTTTCTCTTTACAGGATTAGATTTATGTTGCTTAAAGTGGACCTATCATATATATTTGAAAAATATATTGTAGGGCCATACCTATATAAAACATGCCTGTGAAGTTTTTTTTCAAAATACCAAACAGATCACCCATTACATTATTATTATTATTACATTGCATTTAGCTGACGCTTTTATCCAAAGCGACTTACAATAAGTGCGTTCGACTGACAAAATACAAACTTGAAGAAAACAGAATCATATAAGTATCAGGTTTCATAGAGCTAAAACATTTCAAGAGCTACTCAACTGGCTTTAGATAAGCCAGTCCTTTATTAGTATATAAGTGCTTTGTTAATAGTTCTATCGCTCGAAGTGGAGTCGAAAGAGATGAGTTTTCAGTCTGCGCCGGAAGATGTGTAAGCTTTCTGCTGTCCTGATTTCAATGGGGAGCTCATTCCACCATTTTGGAGCCAGGATAGCAAACCCACGTGTTTTTGCTGATGGGAACTTGGGTCCCCCTCGCAGTGCGGGTGCAGCGAGCTGTTTGGCCGATGCAGAGCGGAGTGCATGTGCTGGGGTGTACAGTTTAACCATGTCCTGGATGTAGGAAGGGCCAGATCCATTCGCAGCATGGTATGCAAGTACCATTGTCTTGAAGTGGATTCTAGCAGTTACTGGAAGCCAGTGAAGGGAGTGGAGGAGCGGCGTGGTGTAGGAGAATTTAGGAAGGTTGAAGACCAGACGAGCCGCTGCATTCTGGATGAGCTGCAGAGGTCGGATGGCACATGCAGGTAGACCAGCCAGGAGGGAGTTGCAGTAGTCTAGGCGTGAGATGACGAGAGCCTGGACCAGAACCTGCGTCGCTTTCTGGGTCAGCTGGGGACATATTCTCCTGATGCTGTAAAGCGTTTATCTGCAGCAGCGGGTTGTAGCAGCAATGTTTGCAGTGAAGGACAGGTTGTTATCTAGGATCACACCCAGATTACTTGCAGTCTGAGTCGGGGAAACAATAGAGGTGCCGATGTTGATTGTTAGGTCAAGAGTTGGACAATCTTTTCCCGGAAAGAAAAGCAGATCAGTCTTGTCAAGGTTGAGCTTGAGGTGGTGAGCAGACATCCACTGAGAGATGTCAGCTAGACAAGCAGAGATGCGTGCGACGACCTGGGTCTCTGAGCGGGGAAAGCACAGAATTAATTGGGTGTCGTCAGCGTAGCAGTGGTATGAAAAACCATGCGGGCTAACGACAGATCCGAGCGAGTTTGTGTTCAAGGAGAAGAGGAGGGGACCAAGAACAGAGCCCTGAGGGACCCCTGTAGATAATTGTTAACCTCTCCAAGTAACCCTGTAGGTGCGGTCTTTGAGGTATGAGGTGAGGAGGGAAAGTGCAGAGCCTGAAACTCCAAGTGCTTGGAGAGTGCGAAGGAGGATCTGATGATTCATTGTAGCCATGCTTCATATTGCTCAAACCCCTCTTTTGCAGCCCTTTTAGAGAAACGCAGATTTTGGGTCCTTAGCTTGAAAAAAAGAAAAGAAGAGGAGGCGGCGCTAATGCCTGATCAGAATTCTACCGGAGATAAAGTTAAATTCGGTTGTCATAAAACGCCATCCTGTTTAAACCACGTCAAGGATTATTTCTGAAACAGTATGGAGCTCAAATGCTTTTTCTCTTGCAGGTTTATCACAAGGTGAGTTCTTTTTTTATGACCTGCTTTTTAAACACATGTGCTCTACAGTACAGGTTAGCTCTGAGTGTTAGCGAGGCTTGCTAATGTAAAAAAGACGAGATTACGTCCAAAACACGTCAGGCATTGTTTCTGATAGCAACTTTCTGTGTGTCCGGCGACGTCACCTCGGATGGACGCGTCAGTACGGATGGAAATCTGTATCCGCTCGTTGTATACCCGTTTTTAAAAGATTTGGGTACGTAGGAAAAGAGAGAGGGTTTTATTTTTCTGACGCTGCGTGAGTTCCCCGACGCAGCGGGGACACATATTTATGTATAAAAGACATCACAAAGTGCATTTTGCATGATAGGTTCCCTTTAAACTATTTTGGGACATTTAAACGTAATGGTGTAGAACAGACAGCAATATTAGTGATGTGATGCACTGTAACGGAGGTGATCTCTGGGGCCGTAGATCTCGGCCTCCGTTACGTAGGATATAGCTTCATTATTGGCGAAGCATATTAATTGGTTCCACGCTAAAACATTGCACAGGAAGCATGTGAATATATGTAATTCATGCATCTACTTGTCACAATTTCTCTATGTTTTAGTTTGTCTGTCTCTGTTTCCTGTTTTAGTTTGAAAAGTGTTCCCCCTTCCGTCTTGTCTGTTACTGGTGATTGTGTTCACCTGGTGCCCTGTGTTTCTCCTATCTCCTCACCTCTGTCTTGTTGGTTTGATTAGTCCTGTGTGTATTTAGGTTCTGTTTTCCTGTTAGTCTGGGTGTGTGGGAGATCCTTGTTACTGCCGGTGACTGTGTTCACATGAGACAGTAATATTGAGGCTGTGTCATGTACCACAATGAGTAATAAATGCCCACACCTGGTTGTATTTGGACGTTCTGCCTGTGCCTCCGTGCTTGGTCGGGCCGCTCAATGGTCAGCTTCACATACACACTATCCGAAATGATTTGAAGGTTATGATTAATTTGGAGAAGATAAATCATTATACTATAGGTTAAGCTTTCAACAACTTAAAACAAAGACCCTCAAAATGTTGTTGAAGTCATGCTTTTGTTGTATTTTTTGTAGTTGTATGTACTGTATATACTGAAACTGACGTCTATAGATAAACTACTTGATGAGGCAGAGTTACACAACCATCAAACTTCGTGCCTGATGTATCAGACATGGTCTGGAAAGATAATAAAGATGTACACTGTGCATCAAGGTTTCTCTACCAATTCACTGTTCCAACAATTCTATCACCATGGTGATCCATGCTCTCTTGGCCCTGTTGAAGAGCAGACTCAAAGCCTCTGCTCTCTCCTTTATCAGCCTCAGCTGGGAGAGTATGTCCAAACACTCATCTCTTCTTTTCACTCCCTCTCCCCCCTCACTTAGTCGCTAACTTACTCTCTGGAATGTCCCACTTATTAAAAACCCGTCTGCTGACAACAGAGTCACTGAGGAAGCTGCCATCAATGCGAGCCTGACTGGAATAAAGGAAGGCCCTCGTGTTGCTTTTACTGCAGTGGATGAAGCATTCGAAATGAACCATAATGGACAGAATTAAAGCTACAACAAACTAGGTAAGGCAAGCATGTACTATAACATTTCAGTGAGTGCAGGGCAACACAGCACCTCACTGGATTCTAAAGCTAAACTGAGAAACTACTTACATCCAACAGCAGAGCCATGAAGGACAGTGGTTTTTCTCAAAGCACTCCCCAAGTCCAAAGAGAGGAATATACTTGGGCAGGCATACGGACAAGTAGGCAGGGCGCAGACCCTCACCTTTATCCCTGGAGAGTGCTCGGAGTTGATGAGCTCAGTGAGGGCACACAAAGCGATTCCTCTGCCCCAGTGCATCCATGCAGGCACACTGGCAGCATTCAGCTGCCGAGCAGAGGACTTGGCTGCCCCCTCTTCAGCGCTCAGCCACTCACAGCATCCATAGAATCAGGCACTTGGTAAATGAGTGCAATGCTTTGCGAAAGAGTGTCATGCTCCCTTAACACTTACACCTATGTCTATGTGCTGCATGCATGTGCAGTCTCACAACCACAAAATAAATGATAAGCAAGCAGGAGTGGAAAGGAGGAGTGAATAAAAGGAAGTGGAAATGGAAAACTAAGAGATGTAGTTTCCAGTGGCTGATTACAATGTGTGATGTGCAGCTACTGTAGGATTAATCAGTGGCTGGAGAGGGGTTGGACACAAGAGAAAGGCATGTGAAATGGAGGTAGAAAAAACCCTAGATATATTTATAAATATGTAAAGGAAAGAATATGGCAAGGATACTGTGGTGGGAGGCGGTAAAGAAGATATATGAACAGAAGAGGAGAGAGAATAAATGACCACTAAAGCCCAATACTGACATGTGAACCACATGAAGAGGTCTCTCTTTTTTTTCTTCTCCGATTTCTTTACTACTTCTGGAGTGGAAAAAACAATAATGAAGCTCCAGGCACCAGGCAAATATTTTTGCTCCTGATAACAATAAGCTACAACAGAAGGCAAAGCTCAGTTTGATTTGCTGGAGTTCTTCAAATGCAAACACTCCTCCACTTCTGTCTGTGATAAAGCATTCTGCACCATAACCATTTTCCTTTTTGTTAAATCATATCTCCAAGTCTTTCAGGGCAGAGAATTCCCACCGGTAGCTTTCAAATCCTTCCAACCCCCCCTTTTCTACCCTTAGACTCCTTATTCCTTCCTACTCTGGCACGTCTCCACTCATTGAAAAAACGTACATATGATACCTTGAAGTGTGTGCGTGCTTGCAGTGACTTTGAAGCCGTACAAATGTGTCAGACAGCATTCTGATGAAAACGATTTTTTCCTTAGGCAGCTCTGCCCTTGGAAAACTTCAGTGCAGAGTTCCCATGACAGAACAGAGCAGCCCCCCTGCTTTAACCACTGCCCCCCTTATTTCTCTGACTTAACTCCACTTTTCTCTTTACCAAAGGAAACAGTCAGTATTCCTATCACAATGTCCACCTTCTTGCCTTTTCAAGATGAAGGAGTTCAA